AAAAAGGCCTGTTCCAAACTTGAAAATATGGCTTGACGTCTGATACATTGTCAGCGTAACTAGGCCTCCAGGTTAAAGCCAACGTTGAAGAGTAAGGACTTAGGTGGTCGAGAGTGATTAAAGAGAAAGTGTCATTCGCTTAACATCAGCCTAATTTAGGTACCATCTAACATCGTATTCGACCTTGCAGTCGTCTATCCGCCGCTTGCAATATTTATGAATTGCAATTTAATCCCTTTTAAGAAGCAAATATCACCACGGTCGGCTAAAATCGCACAAGGCATCAGGGAGCGTTGCCTAGATACACTTAAGAAAAATATCCAGTCTTAAGTTTAAGCAATTTTGCCTATTTATCATGTAATAATACCCTGATAATGTTTGTATGGCATGTTTTAATGATGAAATTATATGGAAAAATGGAAGATTATTCAATTAATAGAATGCACGAAACTGATAATATGAAATTAGGAGTACTTCAAGGGATAGATAAAACTAAAAATGAGTGAAATTGAGATACTCCAATTTTCTGATCATCATATACGACTAAGATACTAACTACAAGCTTAATTATAACAAATATTGAATTATTTAAAATTTTTAAATAACTGGACCACATATACTTAATTAAAATGCATGTGATCAGTCTTCTAATATACCAAAACAATTCAGAACTTTAGAAAAATAAGATTTCTTAGGTGTAAATCATGCGCTTGTCATCAATTCTTCATGAAATTGTCACAGGAAAAATTAAAAATCAGCAACAAATAGCGATTCTAATGACTTGCATGTTGTCCTACGTTAAGCGACATTACACCAAGTAAGCTAAACCCAGAAGCTAGTCTTTCACGGCGAATAAAAAGATGACTTTTATCGGTAAAATTAGCAAAGTAGTGAAACAATGCATCATTAATGAGACGAGGGAAGAAGGGAAAAAAAGTAAAAAGGTCACGAAGTTTAATTAAGACAAAAGAAGATCCCATCTTAAGAAAGGCAAGATAAAAGCGAGTCAGCACAAATGAATGAAAGTAGGGCGATGAAATTGGCCTACTAAATGGAAAATAAAAGATAAATTTTATTTATATACGTGCATCATCCTTAAAATGGACTCAAATGGGTAAAAGTTGAATAAGACGGCAATGCTAAAAACTTTATAAAAAATATAAAATAGCAAAAGAGATTAAACTTGTATATATCAAATCCTGCGTAATGCAAAAGCTACATGAATGAATGAACAGTAAAAACATTTTAAAAAATTCTTCAACATATTTCGTATGGGGCAAAAGTAGTTGAATTCTCCCACAATGATATGAGTAGGCATGGCGTCTCCATTGAACTTGGCCTAGCTTTGTTTTCCCAAGATGGACCTTAGTTTCGACCTCGCCTAGGTTTCGAAAACAGCCTCTGCGGGATTAAAACCATGAAACAACAACCGTTGGGTCGCAAGGCAGAGGTGAATTTTAATAAAAGTCAGACATTCTGTTGGGATAGTCGATGAAGCAAGCTCATAATTGCTATATCAATCGACGATACTACTTATTTTTTGTTTATAAGTAGGTTCTCAAGACTACCAGCGAATCAAATATATAAAATGCTTTCGTCCTATTGCGTTTAAGATGATCATCGAATTCTATTTATTAAGTTTCGAGGCTATCCATAACGATTGGGCAGATTTGGGTAGCCATGGAATGGCAACGTCGTCAGGATACTCACGATGTGGGCTCGAAGCTTGTTGCAGGTACAGATGAGACGCTAAGACGAGGTCAAACCTGTAATCCAATCAGGCTGGTGTGAAATTCCCCGACCCTCTGAGGCCTAGTTATTTGGTTGTGTGGAAAAACTAAAGTGTCCGTCCTGAAATGACGATCAGCAAGCTAAGCTGAGCCAAGTTCTAGTCAAAAACTATGGAAAGTCTCGAAAACTAATCACATCGTGATGACGTAATATTATCGATTTCTATAGCAACTGCTGCTAAGAGGGGCTGGGGCGAGGTCGAAACTGCAGTTCACCCGAGTCGAACTGGTACAGTAGGGCCCAGTGTGAAATTCAATGAACTCCTCAAGCCTAGTCATCTGATCGGATTGGCACAACTCGAATGTCAGTACTTGGCACCAGATTTAGCAACCTAGTAACCAAGTAGTCATGCCGGAAGTGGAAAATCGAGCCGGGGGATTCGGGCTCTTGCAAACGCTCAAAAAGTGCAATCTTAAGAGGCAGAACCGGATACACGTTTGCTACCAAACGGCGGTGCGGTTAGACAAAGGTGGATATGCTTTAAAGTGGGAAAATGAAATAGCATCTAAGGCCGGTGAAGAAGTTGCAAAGCGTCTAGAGCATCTGAAATTGGGAAACATGCGAAAAAACCGAAGCCTCGGAGGCATTGCGAGTTTCCAATTCACTTGAAGCTGCATAAGCAACTTCGGGCATCTGCAGCATCGGTGGTTTGGGGGACTTTGGAGCCTTTAGAAGGAAGAGAAATAATGCGAACGACTGAAGCATCTGGAAGTACAGAATAAGCGGAAGCAGTTGGAGCCTCCGAGTATCGGAAGACGCCGATCCAACTTGGGCATGTAAAATATGTGAAAGATGTGAAAAATGTGAAACATCGGTTCAGCAGCGTCGTGAACATTGGGCGGCCATCCGTGGCCTCGGTCGTTGCGGTCGGCCGGATTGTGTCAAAAAGTGGCTGAAATGCAAAAATGTACCGACGTCGACAATTGGTGAAGGCTATGAATGACAGGATCTGCGAGCCGCAAGGCAGTAATATCGTGTGTGGGGGAGCACAGCGAAAAAGACAATCGCCCAAAGGCGTAGGATAAACTAATAAGGCGAAGGGGTGAATGAGGAACGTGGTGTGAAAAGGGGTTCGCGGAAAGTAGGCCGCGGCAAAAGAGCAAGTGGGACGTGCGATGTGATGTGGAATAGAACGGCCAAAAGGGAGCAGAGACATTAATTGCTCCAAGAGCAGACGATTCTAACAATTGAGACGACTTAACGACATGGCTTTGCAGGTAGAAACACACACTTACTCACCCTCACGCAAACACACACACACAGACACACACAGAGTCACGGAGAGAAAGTCTGCGCTGGCTCGACAGGAGAACCGTGAAAAGGAGGGGGGCGAAGCAGAAGAGCATGTCTGTACATGAACGAAGGTGGTTAAGGTGAGCCGAACGTCAGATACAAAGCCAGTCCGAGTTGTTTTACCCAGTTGGCCCGTAGCAACAGGCAGAGCTGGAAGCAACAAATCCATACACTCATCTCGACGCCGATCTCCGCGAGGGGAGGGAGAACGGGTGGTCGGTCTAAGAGAGAGAGAGAGAGATGATGTGAAACTAGGACATTAGGCACCAGAATGAGGATGGAGCCAGAGACGAGACCAAATTCAGGTTGAGCCGAGAGTCAATGCTGCTCCAATGAGCCTCCAGGTCCCTAAATGTGAAGTGTACCGTACAGAATCCCGGATTTCACATCGCAAAATTAGACACAAGGACATACATGCAAACACAGAACAGACACACACACATATAAACGTACAGACAGAGTCAAACCGACAAGGAAATAATGGAGACGCGAAAATGGCAGGCCGAGAGGAGGGAGAATTTGGGGAAAATAAGGGATAAATGACGCATGGTAATAGTTCGTTGGGGTAAATAAAGGATGAATCATAAAAGAGCAAAAATGAAAGTATACATTATGAACGGAGTCTGGTGAATGCAGCTGCCGCAATTACAAAAAGAATTAAAGTATGAAACACACCACATTGAACAAACGAGCTTGTATCATGGCAACAATAAGTTCAAGTCTCTCGGTCCATGTGAAAACGTGCCATTTGACCGAAGACATTATCAGAGCAGGGCATTCTTCTTACTCTAAACCTACGGAATTGTGTTAAGTATACACTGTTCTGAGAGTCTAGAAATGTGTGTGTGTGTGTGTGCGTGTGCTTGTGTGCATGTACGCGCCTTCATGCGTAGAAGGTATGTGACAAAAAGTGGAAACTCCTAGGGAGTTGATGCAAGCGTTACATCAGTCATCAGTCATTAATGTATGATTTCTTTTTTTAACCTCCTCTAGGTTTCATAATGTCGGAAAAACGTATGGTTAGGTTGATGAGTCTTTGTGCGAGGACTGGGGCGAATAGAAAGTGAATATGAGAAAAAATGGATTTCAGACAATCCATTATTACTGTTGAGCTCACTTTCATTTTGAGAAAAAAATGTCTGGTGAAGAGATTCTAAGGTCTCTTTTTGACTCCTCTTGACCAGCTGTCGATTTACTCGACTGGAACCTTCATGTTGACGATGTTTCTGATGTAATCCCCTGCGATTCCGGTAAAAAAGATTCCACCAAGGCCTTCTGGTGGAATCGACCTTCGAATCTCTGCACCAACAACTTTCACTCAAAATGGAAGTAAGCTCGAAAATTATGAAACAAGCAATTTATCGAAATCCACATTATCTTCGCATCTAATCCATTATTGGCTCAAGGTGACTCAACATTAAACTTCAAATAAAATGTGAGAATCGGTATAATACAATAAATTGCAAAATTGCAAAATTGCATCTGTTTTATAATCAACGTTACATATTTTTTTTGAGAGAGTAAATATAAATATAAATATAAATATTTTTATTTATTTATATTTATATAACTCAACAACTTTGGTTTAATGGAAGTGATGAAATCTAGGGCGAGTGTCATTCAAAAACATCGACCTCTCTGCTGCCCGGCTACGGGCGCCAGTGTTTCACAAATAGGCAGATATGACCTCCAAAGTAGGCTATCATCGTGCCAAATCACATTTTTACGGCAGGATTGTCAAGGGGGAAAATTTCTATCTCATATCGACTATATTGCTTATTTTCTGCGAGAGTAAACCACGAAAGTGTCGGTAATTAAACTACTTTCGAGGCAAATAAGTAGTGCTGGTTATCGCAGTGGAAAATGTAATTGTGCAATTTTTGTTATTTTTATTCTGATTAGGCGAGCTCGAAAGAGGATGATGTGACTTTTCGAGAAGAGGCATAAGTGCACTTCAACGCCATCTCGAGGCCAGTCAGTTTATTGTAGACAAATAACCCAACTGTCATTCCTTAAGTCACCTTCAGCAATCCAGTCTGACTAGCTTCTTATTTAAGCAATACTTATAGTCTCGAAGGGCATTTATACAAAAAAAATAATTAATTTTGGGCCTCTTCTGATAAGTTGAAAATTGACAGTGGAGTCTTACTCACAATGAGAGGAGTAGACTGGACAACGACATTAAATTTCGGTGTATCGTCTCTTCCAAGGGATTTCGAAACCTATTCAGACCAATAGAAAAAAGGTATCCAGTAACAGGGACCCTCCTCGATGACAAATGGGCTGTTTCTGTGGCAGGCTAGCCAGTTGAACGCAAATCCCGGCCAAGATTAGCCGACTGTGTAGTCGGTAACGCTGCAGTATATTTCGTTTTGAGTAGATTTTCCAGACTATCAGTAAATCAAATGTATGAGTTATGCTCTGATTGTTGAATTTTCCCACAATGATATGAATAGAGCTGGCATTACCAGTAAATTTCACATAACCTTGCTTTCCCAAAAGGTGTGCTCATTCCCAATGATCCGATTTACTGGTTGCCCCGAAAAACTACTCACAACGAAATTTAAGTAATGTCGTCGATTGGTATAGCAAATAGGA